TATCTGTTATTCAGATGGCAGTAAATGAATTTGTATAACTGACAACATTTTCAAGTCAAGTCAGGCTTTATAGTCATTTCAGCTCTATACAAGTACACAGTGAAACAAAACAACATTCCTCCAGGACCAACACAGGAACACAAGTGCAAGACAATTCAGTAAACACAGTGAAGACAATACAGTACAGTAAATAAATACGAAAGACTTACATTAAATACAAAACAGAACACAGGCAGTACACGTTACATGGTACAGTATGTGGAGCTGTGCAAAGGACGATGCAACATACTGTGGCAGATTAGCAGATAGCCTAGCATATATGAGCATAGCAGTCACTGAGGTAGCAACACCAAATGTGATTTTATCGGACACTGAAAATGAGACATTATTTTATTCGCCCTCTGTTTGATTTTTGCAAACTTTCACCGGCAGCATGAACCCGTTGACCATTCATGGTCGCCTCTGGCGTTGGCATGGCAACAACCAAGATGACTGATTGGCTGTGTCCCAGCAACTGGGACTTTTCCCAACAGCTAAAAGTATTAGAATCTTCAAAAGCAGCTCAAACAGGGATACGTGCATTGAGTCATATGTGGAGGCAGTTCAAGTTTCACCTTCTGGATAAAGCAGTGCAGCTCTTCACGCTACTTTCACTTTTCCAAAAATGGAAAGTAGTCGAAAGTCACAGTTCTGCGAGGAGCAAAAGATACAGTATTTGAACTTAAAGACATTCAGCCTGTCGTCATGTGAGGAGCTGCAGCTCCAAAATCAGCTTAAAATGAGTTACAGAGATCAGAGCTGTGCATGAAAGAGTTTATAAGGTTTTAGCTCCTGAATGAGGCGGAGAAACTCCCCTTTTTTTCTGTCACCACTCGAGGTGGAAAGCATCCTGCACAATGCAACAATTTGCTGGTTTTGTGCGAAGCAAAGGATATATTTTGATAGTCGTTCTGCACTTTTTTGTCGCAGCACAACAATTTGGCATTTGTTATAAATAGTTTAATGCGAAAAAAATCGCATCTGAATATTTCTCTTATTTGTGTTGTTTATTTGCATCCTGTTCATTGTTTAATGGTCTTTTAGATGTTGGTTGCATTTTAGGCTTCTCATGATCCAAGTAACCCCAAACGTATATGAAGATGTTGAGGTCTGGTCTGTTGTTTTTAGTGAAAATCGCTGCTGTCAGAACGAAACCTTGTATTTCCATTTTTTTTCATTTTTCAGTTTTTGATATAATTTGAAAATGTGAGTGGTCCTTTACATTGTGTGTAAATTTCATGATGAATGGATAAAAAGAAATGGCCCAAAATTACTTGGAAAAAATCTCTGGTTCCATTGACTTCCATTAAAAGTAAAGTATTTTTTTTCCTTCTCCTGTAAAGTTATCAATTTGGAGATACAAGGTTTTCTTCCGACAAACAGCGAAATGTTCCTTTTTTTTTTTATCAATTTCTTTTTCTCGTGTGTAGCTGTAAGGGCTTCTTGACAGCTACACATCCTATCAGTATTGAGAAATTGTCTTCTCACAGTGGAATAATGGACAGATTTTTTGTTTTTCTGTTAACATAGCACTATGCAAAGTCAGAGGCCATCCTTCATTCATTTCATTTTCAGTCAAGACGCCCATTAAATACAAGTTCTTCATTTTTCAGTAGATATTACCGAGGAGATTAGTTACAAGGTAATCCACTTGAATAAGGTGGGACAGGAAAATGAGTGTAAAAACAGGAGTTTCCAAAACTGGAGTTCAAAATAATGACTAAAAGCTGCAGAGAAAGTCGGGCTCCTGACAACCACCTGGAAGACCTGGTAGACCCCAAAACTGCCCCCATCAGATAAACAGCACTTAAAGCTTTCATCTCTGAGAGAGAGGAGAAAATCAAGCTGCTTCAGATCTGAAAACATCCACAGGTGTTTCTGTCCATCCTTCCACTGTGAGAAGACGACTCAGCGCTGTGGGTCTGAAAGGATGTGTAGCTGATCAAGAAGAACCTCACTGAGAAAAGGAGACGGACACATCAAACAAAGAAGCTGAACGATGGACTGACCACCCCAGAGTCCAGACCTCAACACCACTGAATGTGTTTGATTACTTCAGAAAATGATCAACCAGCTTCTAAGACTGAACTTTGGAGGTGTGTCTGCAGATTCTTTGAGGAACTGAAAGTGAGTCTCCTGAAAAGAATGGAAGCTGGAATAAACACGAACAAATCTGATGTTCTATTTATCACCTGAATATTTGATCCACACCTGTATTGAATGCACTGTAAAGAACATGAGCTCTGGCTGATCTTAGTGTTCAAGCGAACACAGCCCTTCCTCAGAACTAATGCTTGCTTAGCAAATTCTACTGAAGTGACAACGTCTATTACAGTCCAGTTATAAACAACATTCATTAAGAATCAGATTATTTTATTTGCATCACATAAACTACTTGGATACTTTGAAATTATTTTATTATTTTATGTCTTTTTGTTATATGACTTTCACTTCTGTCAGATTGCTTTTGATCCAGCCGCATAAATACTGCAGAACTCTTTATGGCCCGTTGTTCGACAAACGCGTGACTTTTTATTAACCCACAATTCACTGAAAAACATCTTTTCCCTTTCTTTTTCAGGTGAGAGATGAGCTTTGATTGCCCATTTGGGAGATCGTAAAGGAGCCGCCTTCTTATTCAGACGGAAGTGATTCATAAAACATTCCTGAGTGCACATCTTATCAGCTTATCGGTCCCGACAGGCACCTTGTCGTTTCAATGACTGAGCATTTCTTTTTCTACTATTTATAAAATGTGATCTTTTTTAATCTTGGAATTAAACATACTACAGTCTAAAGCTGTTACTCTGGCTTTTTTCATCTCCAAGTAAATGAATATGAATTCCAGATAAATCAAAGAACCACAGTATACATCCAAAAGGTTTTAGACACCTGCTTATCCAGCGTTTCTTCTGAAATGAAGGGTATTAATAGGGAGTTTGTCCCTCTTTGCTGCAGTTATAGCTTCTACTCTTCTGGAAAGGCTTTACACTAGATGTTAGAACATTGCTGTGAGGATTTGATGGCAGCCACAAGAGCATTAGTGAGGACAAATACTGATGTTGAATGATCAGTTCTGGATCTCTCATCCCAAAGGTATTGGATGGAGCTCCAGAGAACACAGCTCCACTGCTCCACAGCTCAGTGGGTATGTTAGGCATCAATTAGAGGGGTACAGCCCCGCCCCCCCCAGCTTTATACCCCTCTAACTAATGCTAGCCACACTTTTGGACATATAGTGACTTACTCATTTATGTGTAATGAAGTGCTTTAGAAATACAGTTAAGACCTGTTCTATATAAGCTTGTTTCCAGAGGCAGACTAGTCCTGGTCTAAAACCACACTACAGTAATATGGCTAAGATTCTGTAATTGGGGTCCCATTTGTGTCCCACTGATGTTACATTTACACATATGTATGCAAAGGTAAAAGACATCTTATACATAGCTGAACATATACTTTTAAAAAAAGATGGTTCTTCAAGGGTTCTTTAGTAAAGAAAATGGTTCTATATAGAACCATGAACACTCAAAGAACCCTTTGCGTGATTAAAGGGTTCTTTGCATCATGAAAGGGTTCTTAAGGATGTGTGAAAAGGGTTCTTCTGTTGTTACAATATAAAGCTTGTAACAATAGAAAAACCCTTTTGGTTGCTATATAGAACCCCTTTCAAAAAGGTTCTATATAGAATCATCTACAGCATATCGTCGCTGTCCAATGAAAAACATGTATCTCCATTTCCTGCATCACTTTTCTGCATCATTTGAGCTCAGCAGGTGGTGCTGATTGGACCAATAGAAATGCACCAAAACTGCTTAGAATAAAATCTCTTTCCTTTAACTTCCAGAGAAAGTTAAGAGAGTTTTTGCTCTCTCCGGGAAAGTTACCATTTTGGAGATGCTTGTTTTTCTTTGGACAGCGACGACGTTCTCCATCAGTCTGAAGACCCCTTTCATGATGCAAGAAGAAGACGCTTTAATGATACACAGCGTTCTTTTGAGTATTCATGGTTCTATGTAGAACTAGTTTCTAGTTTACTAAAGAACCCTTTTAGAGGCGGACGTCTGGTTCCTATCACCACCACTGTGAATGATTCTGACTCTTTCTCTAGAACAGAGCTTTTCACACCGAACCACTCTAAATGACTTTGTTTACATCTTAATCGTCTGATTGTGTAGAATTTTTAAAATTAGTGGAGTTCCCCTTTAAGCCAACAAGTCAAGTAGAAGCGAAGGCTGTCCTCTGAAAACAATCTGAGCTTAAAGTAATTAAATAAACATATTAAAACATAGTTAAATGGTTAAGATGTAAACAGTCGTTCAGAGTGGTTTGGAGTGAAACGCTCTGTTCTAGAGCACTTGCCAAGTAAGCATTGTTCACGGTGGTGGTGATAGGAACCAGACGTCCACCTCTAAAAGCTCCCTCACAGACAGTCATTATGTGAACTGGTTGTGAAAACACTGCCTGATGTCTGAGACATTTAATAGCTTTGAACAGGTCACTTCATTATTTTCTTTTCTAGATTTAGAAAAGAAAATAAATGAATAATGTGATATTTACCATCATTAACATTACATATAAAAACTCACTGGTGGTTCTGGATAGTAAATTAAATGTCTATATCTGTGTTGTAGTCATGGTGACCTCTGGTTCCCATCACCACCACTGTAAAGACATCTGAGCCTCTGCAGTGAGCCGTCTCACACAAAACCACTCTGAATGACTCTATTTACATCTCAACCACTGAATTATGCATAAAGTTAGAATAGAATGGCGGAATTCCCAGTTTTCTACCAGGTTATTTGAAATTCAGATAGCAGGATTGAGCTGTAACACAATGACTCAGCACTCATGGAAGTTTGGTCCAGGTTCAGATGCAGGACTCACTCCTTGCCGCTAGATGGCGGTGCGACCTGTTCTGGACCTTCACTGAAGATGGTGGCCGTTAGTGAGGTAGGAAATGTAGCGACAGCGTTCAGAATCAGTGAATGTTCGTGTTTACCTGATTTTTAGTCACTTAAACGTGAAAAACCCCAATAATATATAATAAAGAAGACTGTCGTGGTTAAACCTGGCGGTTTGGGGCTAAACCTGTTATCTAACTAGCCAAGTTTCCCAACTTTGCTCCTGGAGAACCCTGAACATTTCAGTGTTTACCTGCTCTGTAAGGCCAGTTCAGGTCATGGAGAGCTTAATATTGAGATGATAAGTTAAGATTTGTTCTGTTGTAGCAGAAATAGTCAGTAAAATAAGCTGGACAGGGGTAACCAGAAGAATAACAACATCTAAATGAGACCTCTTTATCTCATTTACTTCTCCTACACTCAGAAATAAAGGTAGTAAACTGTCACTGGGTCAGTTCCCCTCTTGTCACTGGGGTGGGACCCTCAAGGGTCCATCTCAGTCCTTTAGTCAGGGAACATAACTGAACCATAATCCACTGAAATGATATGTTCTAAGCTGTACTGACTCCACACACCCCGTCTCGTCTCCAGGACTTTATTTTATTGTTCTGTTTTAAAACATTCGGTTATAAAAAAAGGCACAAATGCGAACTTTTCACCTGGAAAAACTTATTTAAGGTTCACAGTCAGACCTTAAAACCACTGTTGGACCTTTGAGGGAACATTTACATTGTTTGTACCTTGATAAACAAAAAATGTACCTGAACAGAACCTTTATTTCTAACAGTGTAGATGTAGCTAAGACCTGTTTGTAAGAAGGCCAGTTCCCACCAGGAACAGGAGAACATTATTTTTCTCTCTTCTGTTTCTGGCAACAGTATGACTGACTTATTATCTGAAAATAATGACCTATTTTTTCAAAATAGTGTCTTAGTATCTTGAAATAATGACATAGAAAACATAGAAAAAGAACAGAATGGCCTCCTACTGTCTCAACAACCATGGTATTACATTCTGTTTATCCTACCAATAACATTCATCCCCCTTAAATGTTCTTTCAGGAACCATTCCTCAAAACTATATACTTTAAATCTTTGTAAAAGCCCCAAAAACTTTTCCTAATTGAGATCTTGGGCCATAAACTGATAATTACCACTTGGCATGTTTTTTTTTTCTTGGTTCTGTTCATGGATTGCAAAAGGCAGTTAATCCACTCTGTTTCTACATTTCTGAAAAAAGGAAAAATAGCATTTCAATAAACCACAATAGAGGCACAAAAACAGATATTGACACAGCATCCCTGCTAGATTAAACAGCGTAGACCAGCATGGCTGGTCACCAGCAAAACCTGCATATTTTATATTTTGGATGCTGGTATTCTAGTCATACAGCATGACCATGTTGAGGCCAGCATGCAATTCGTGTTGGTCTGTGCTGTTTTTTCAGCAGGGATGTCCAAATAATGATGTATTTCCTTGAAATAGTGGCTTGATATCTCATATAATGAGTTATTTTCTGGAACTTTTTACTTAATATCTCAAAATAAGAAACCAGTTATTACGTTTCAAGAAAACAAATAATAAAAAGTCAAAATAATTAATTTGACATATTGAGTTTCTTGACATAGTTTATTTTTTGATCAAATAAGTCATTATACTGACCAAGCAAATCAATATTTCAAGAAAATCATTCATTATGTTGAGGTACTACATCAATATTCTGACATACTACTGAGGGGAAAAACATGAAAATTACAAATAATCAAAACAGATACTGTTAGATCTTTATCCAAGGTACAACTCTACAAAATGGCATCACTAATTTAGTCAGTACAAGTACTGTGGCCTCATCATGCTAAATGCTAAATGAAGTTGTCGGACATTGTGATGGATTAAGCCATAAAGGAATGAGGAGCGCCCAGTGGAAACATCCCAGCTATCACACTGGTTTAATTTAGCTGAGAAAATCTCATTTAATGAAATAATACCATCTTCTCATGTGTTTATGTAGGAGAAAGTGACCATTCCGTTTGGGACCAAAGTACTGGACGGTGTTCTGACTGTTCCTGAAGTGGAGGCCGTGCGGACGGGCCTTGTCCTCACACATGGAGCCGGAGGGGACATGAACCTGAAAGCCCTGCGTTCTCTGGCCGGCTGCACGGCCACATCTGGTGTCCTGTGTCTCCGTTTCACCTGTAAAAGTCTCAATTTCACCTACAGAGTGCGGGCGTTTCAGGCAGCTGTTGTAAGTGGAGGACACAGTACAGTCACGGTCATTGCACTCTAGGTCACTGATGCTCAGCAGGCTGGCTTTCTTTTTACAGGATTACTTGAAAACCCTCCAGAGGTTCACACTGAGTAATGTTTTCCTTGCGGGTGAGTAATCTCTGTGATCAGTGACGTATTTGGTTGTAAATGTTTTACAGCGGAACGTTAGTTACCATGCGCCTGCACTCTTAAAATGAAAAGGTGTCCAAAAAGGGTGCCTTAGGAGAACCACCTTTGGTTCTGTGAAGAACATTTCGAGATTTATTACTGGTCCACAGTAATGTTGGTGGTATTTGACTGAATTGCGCTCTGCGATAAGTTAAAAAAGAAAAAAAAATCAGCAGTGAAATAGGATTCTTGATATGCATATAAGCTTCTCTTTAACTTTATATGTTTTCATATTAAAGAGTGATCAGATGACTGAGGTCTGTGCTCCACCAGAGGGCAGTGTAGAGCCTATGTCTTATGTTTTGGTCCAAGTTTCTTATTTGTTCACAGAAGCTACAGAAATTCTACTGTGGCCGGCTAAAGGGTACTGCACACCGGACGAGAAGCTCCGCCCCGCCCCAGAAGGTGCTGGGTAGAAGGTGGTTTTCGTACAGTTAGAAAAAAGCCAGATAAACAACAAGCTCAACTTCATTTTACACTGTACTTACATAGATTTAATGGAATACAGCTTTCAACATCATGTAGTGAATTTATCAGGTTTGGCATCAGCGAACTAACTCAGTGTTTTCCAGCTGAAAGGTACAAGCTGAAATACAGTGCGACTAGACTAGTAACGTTAGCTGAGGTGAAATCAGTCGAATAGGATTTCTCCATTTATCTCAAAGACTTTGCATTATAATCTATTCTTAGAGTACATTTCAAACCACGTCGTCTACTATGCACACAAATAAATATGCAGAATGGTGCCACTGTCTCTAGTGTTGTCCAACCAATGTGTCGGGTATGCAGTAGCCTGTAGCCTTAAAGCTACATAATTAGACTCAAATGCTCATCCCTAATATAGATCCATAATAAACAATATGGTAAAACAAATTGCAGGACAAGACAGACAGAAGGTGCAAAAGGACACTGAGTTTTAAAGGTGCATTTGGCCTAAAATTAGCATTTAACATTGTGCCGTCAGCGTAGAACACATGTGCTAGACTTCAGTCCTCACGGGGCAAAACACTGCAGACTCAGCAGACCGTCTCATTAACCACACCTGACTCAGCTCGTCAACAAGCAAGAATTCAGATCATTAGATAGGGGAAATTCAGAGCGTTAGATAGGAGACATGCTAATCTGCGCAGCACACTGGCCTGGAGGGTCCACAGTTTGACATGCCTGGCGTACAAGAAGGCACAGGAAACAGCGCTTCAGACGAATGCTCTTTTATTGAACATAGCAGTGGGGAGACCCGCTACTCAGCACTGACTGAACGGCCGGGATAGCAGGCAGGCCAGTAACAGCCAACCCAAGCCCAGCACGGTCTGGCGCAACAAGGCTTACCGACACTGCTGCATCTATATTGTCTATACAGTAACAGCTAATTACAAGTTCAAGTACAAGTCTTTTGTACTGCTGACGTGATGCTGCCTGTGGTGCTCTGCCCTCACCGCTCCGCATGGCCATGCACGTGGTTGGCTGAACGAGCAGGTAGCGGGATGCTACATTGCTGCGACCATCCCGGCGACCCCACAAAGTCCGGCTAGACTCTGAGTAGAGTCCTTGGGTACGCCGTTCTCCCCTCTCGCAGTCTCTCCAAGCAGGGTTACAGAACATCTGCTGTCCCAGCAAACACTCATACTGTAAGCACGTGCTCTAGGCCATGCAAGCTGCCAGTCCTCCCTTGAGGCCGTGTCCTCCTCTTCGCGGCAGTGGAACAGAGAGACTGAGCACTGCGTCCTCCACCTCAGCATGTTAGATCCCTTTGCAGTATTCATGCAACCGACAGCAACAGAGGCACTCCACTTTCCCTGCCACCCACTGTACCACAGACACCAGTGAGGCCGCTGCTTGTGTATACTGGCGCTCCAGTGCTCTGCCTTGACCACCTCAGCATCGCTGTCGAGCCTCCTTGCCCGGGCCAGCTCAGGTAGAGCTCCACCCACATCGCTCTGCATGGCCACGACTTCCGTGTGTCCACAGCTGAACAAGCTGATAGCGGGACGCTACATAATGTTATTTGCTCTAACTAAATTCATGAGTTTATGTTATTTGCATTGTTTTCATTGTCCTTATATTATGTCGTTATATTGTTTTCCTTTGCCTTCATAAAAGCTCTCTAACTACAGTACTCTGCATGCGTCACACAAGTACATCATGAAGCTATGTGGAATCCCTGTGGTGTCAACCAGTCGTGACTACTAACATAGCAAATGAGCAATAGACTAATAGATACATCCAAGTTAGCATTAGTGTAACTCGTCAAACAAGACAGTTCGTTTCTTTATCAGAGACACATTTCAGTTAAAGAGTAACAGAGAAAATGAGCTAAGATAAGATAAGATATGTAGATATCTTGCTCGCCAACTTAGCTTTTAGCTTGTCATTCTTGTCATCCTCTCTAATGATGATGATTTGAAGACACCACAGATACATGCCTATGATAAGATGTTCAGCTTTGTAGCGGTAGCATTAGCTTTCTGCGTCCACCAGCTAGAGAAAAAGAAGGACAAAACAAAGAGCTCGTCCCCATAAACCACTCAAGGTACATCATCAGACGGAGGTTTTAGTCTCTATACCAGAAAATCACACTCTAGAACCTACTGCAGTACCACTGCTAGAGATGAACGGGCTTGTTTACAAGACGTAAAAATGTAAGTCTTTCATTTTGGCCAATGTGCTTAGAGAACCAACCATTGAAAGGGTCTAAAAGGAACCTAAAAAGTTTCATCTATGCGAAAGGACCCTCTTTGGCACCTATTTTTGAGAGTTTGAAGTTAAACCTAGTGTAAAATTAAATTTGATTGATCGACTAAATGTTTTTCTCCTCTCAAATGTGACACTTCTGACTGCGTGTGGGTGCCAGGTCGTTCGATGGGAGCTCGAGCTGCCGCGGCGTTGGGCCGGCAGCTGTGTGCCGCGGAGGAGGGAGCCGTACGGGGCCTGGTGTGTGTGTCCTTCCCTCTGCATCCCCCTGGACAAACACACACACACGTTAAGCGCAGTGAGGACCTCAGAGCGCTGTCCCACGTCCCCGTGCTCTTCGTGTCTGGCACGGCAGACAACATGTGTGAACGAGTGAGTGCAGCTCGCTCTCTTGCAGTATATGCCATAATCCCTCCAGGAAACCTAGCATTTCCATGTACCCACTTAAAGTCAGTGTGAATGGGAAATCGGAACTGTGCGAATGTCACAGACCACCCTTAGTTTATTGTCAAAACAGCCATCAAATACAAAGTGTTTATTTTTCAGCATCAGGAAAAAAGCAGAACATGTATTTAACAGAAAATTAGACAGAAGCCTCAACAACTATCAGTTTTTTTAGTGTTTACTGAGTCACTTTTTACCTTCATTCCAGCTTCCATTCTTTTCAGGAGACTCACTTTCAGTTTCTCTAAGAAATCCTCAGACATACCTCCAAAGTTCAGTCTTAGAAGTTGGTTAATCATTTTCTGCAGTAATCAAACACATTCAGTGATGTTGAGGTCTGGACTCTGGGGTGGTCAGTCCATTGTTCAGCTTCTTTGTTTGATGTGTCCGTCTCCTTTTCTCAGTGAGGCTTCTTGACATCATTTTTTGAGTTTTGGAAACTGTTTTTTCACTGATCTTCCTTTGACTTTCTGCTTCCTTATGCAAGTGGATTATTTCACATCTAGTCACCTCAGAAATATCTCCTGAAAAATGAATGACGTGTTCTTAATGGCTGTTTTGACTGGAAATTAATTAAACGAGCTGTGGTCTGTGGCTGCACAGTACTGTATAACAACTATTCCAATTTGTCAATATGTCTGCATTTCATTCACAGCATGCATGATCTTACATTTCCATATAAATGTATGAATATTACTATGTACATGATTGCACCTCTAATATATACTGAATTTGGTCTCTTCTTAAGTTGAAGCTGAAATCGGAGGTGGATTGGGGTTCTGTTGTTGGGGTAAGAACATAATGTATGGAACCCTGTTTTCTCTTCAGAAGCTTCTGGAAAGTGTTGTGGAGCAGATGAAGAGCTCCAGCTCTGTGCACTGGGTGGAGGGGGGGAGTCACGGCCTGGCAGTAAAGGGGAGGACAGAGGAGTCTGTACTGGAAGAGGTCAACTCAAGAATCATGACATGGATACTGGAACATGTCTGAAAATGCTCTGCTGCTGAGATCTGTTTTTATATAGTGCTTGTCTGATTGTCAACATATGCGAAAGAAAACAATGTCTACATTTTTATAAATAAAATAATTCTTCAGTGTCAGTTTATGTACTAATAAACACAAATAATTAATTTATACATGATGATACACCTCACTTTATCCCTTAGAATTAAACAAGCTGTTTTGGCTTATGGTATATATGTAGATGACCTGTGTTCTGATTGGCTGCCATGTGTTCTGCAGCAGGTAATTTTGACCGTGGCAAGATTGTTGGTGCAAGACAGGTTCGAGTATTTCTATGACTGCTGGTCTCCTGGGATTTTCACACATAGCGTCTCTAGAGTTACTCAGAATAAAGTAATAAAGAAGATACATCCAGTGACGGAAGTCAGCGGAGAATGGCCAGACTGGGTAAAGGCTAGTAACACTGTACAAATGTGCTGAGCAGAAAAGCATCTCAAAATGCACAAAATGTCGAACCTTGAGGCGGAGGGGCTACAACAGCAGAATCTCATGTCGGGTTCCACTTCTGTCAGCCAAAAACAGAAAGCAGAGGCTGCAGTGGGCACAGGTTCGCCAAACTGGACAGTTGAAGACTGGAAAAACATAGCCTGGTCTGATGAATCTCAACTTCTGCTGAAGCACACAGGTGGTAGGGTAAAAATTTGGTGCCAACAGCATGAATCCAGGGACCCAACCTGCCTCGTGTCAACAGTCCAGGCTGGTGGAGGTGGTGTATTGGGGTGGGGAATGTTTGTTTGGCACACTTTGGGCCCATTAATAACACTCGTCGCTTGAATGCCACAGACTATTTGAGTATTGTTGCTGACCATATGCATCCCTTCACAGCCACAATTTACCATCTTCGAATGGCTACTTCCAGCGTGATTATACACCATGTCACAAAGCAAAAGTCATCTGAAACTGGTTTCATGAACATGACAATGAGTTCAGTGTTCTTCAGTGGCCTTCACAGTCACTGGATCTGAATCCAGTAGAACACCTTTGGGATGTGCAAGAACGGGAGATTCGCAGCATGAAAGCGCACCTGAAAAATCTGTGGAATTGCATGCGACAGTCACGTTAACATGGACCAGAATCTCAAAGGAAGGTTTCCAGCATGTTGTGGAATCCATGCCTCGTAGAATTGAAGCTGTTTTGAGAGCAAAGGGAGGCCCTGTCCAGTACTACTCTCATGTTTGCCTGCACCTGAGTCATTTCGTTAGCTAATAAGTCTTTCTTGTGCTGAATCAGGACTGGAGTTAGCAAACGCTAATCTGTGGCATGAAAAAGATCCTGTAGAAGGTTAATGAATCCAAGGTGTAGATGGAGAGCAAGCACATATAAACAACTGTCACTTGCATTGCATAACACCTGATCTGCTGAAGCCTTAAAAGCAGTTAACATTTAACTTTGTCTTTTATTCCAGACAGTTTTAGACATAAGTAACCCATTAATGCTAATTAGGAGCTAAAGAGTGTGGGAACTGGTTGATTATTACTAAGCATGCACCAATCCAACGTTTTCTCTCTGAATACCAATACTGATACACTGTGTGGCCAAAAATCTGTGGACACCCCTCACAATTATTAAGGTGTTTCACCCAGTGCTAACAGCACATATCCGTATGACATACAGTGGCAGTATAATGGGTCGTACTGAAGAGCTCAGTGAATTTAAATGTGCTGGTCCACCTTGTAGATGTAAAGCGAGAGACGATAGCTCATCTGTTGCTGCACAGTTTGTGTTGGTCATCCTCTAGTCCTTCATCAGTAGTCACAGGACGCTGTTGGCCAGATATTTTTAGTTGGTCATGTTGGTTTTGATGGTGAACAGCATGCTCATTTTCATTGCTGCTGACCAGAATACCAGCATTCAAAACATAACATATCCAGGATTTGCTGGTGATCAGCTATGCTGGTTTTCTAGCAGGGCTGTGGTGGTCCTGACCACTGAAGAACAAGGTTAAAGTATGCAGAGAAACAGATGGACTACTGTCTGCAACTGTAGAACTACAAAGTGCTCCTATATGGTCAGTGGAGCTGATAAAATGGACGAGTGTAGAGACTAGTAGGTTCACTTAATGAAGTGGCTGGTCTGTGTATTTGTAAGTTAACACTTCCACATGCTTTTAAAATGTGGCCTGTGCAAAAGTTATGGATTTATGAATTTAAATGTTTTGAATTCGTGCCACATTAAAGTGGGCTCCCTGTAGAGGACGTGTTAATGTATGTTCACCTAGAAAATAAACAAAACACATAATCTGACCAGGAGCATTCAGACTTTTTCCATAAGCCTGTATATCATACAAAGGCATAGTCTGTTTTTGTTACCGTTACTGTTTCTGACCACCTCCTTGTTTCTACACTCATTGTCCATTTTATCAGCTCCACTTACTATATAGGTGCACTTTGTAGTTCTACAGTTACAGACTGTAGTCCATCTGTTTCTCTGCATACTTTGTAGCCCCCTTTTACCCTGTTCTTCAGTGGTCAGGACCCCCATGGACCCTCACAGAGCTGGTACTATTTGGGTGGTGGATCATTCTCAGCACTGCAGTAACACTGACGTGGTGGTGGTGTGTTAGTGTGTGTTGTGCTGGTACGAGTGGATCAGACACAGCAGTGCTGCTGGAGTTTTTAAACACTGTGTCCACTCACTGTCCACTCTATTAGACACTCCTACCTGGTCGGTCCACCTTGTAGATGTAAAGTCAGAGACGATAGCTCATCTGCTGCTGCCCAGTCTGTGTTTGGTCATCCTCTAGTCCTTCATCAGTGGTCACAGGACGCTGTTGGCTGGATATTTTTGGTTGGTGGACTATTCTCAGTCCAGCAGTGTCACTGAGGTGTTTAAAAACTCCAGCAGCACTGCTGTGTCTGATCCACTCGTACCAGCACAACACACACTAACACACCACCACCACGTCAGTGTTACTGCAGTGCTGAGAATGATCCACCACCCAAATAGTACCAGCTCTGTGAGGGTCCATGGGGGTCCTGACCACTGAAGAACAGGGTAAAAGGGGGCTAACAAAGTATCAGAGAAACAGATGGACTACAGTCTGTAACTGTAGAACTACAAAGTGCACCTATATAGTAAGTGGAGCTGATAAAATGGACAATGAGCGTAGAAACAAGGAGGTGGTCATAATGTTATGCCTGATCGGTGTATATGATGTAGTGCTGAAGATAAAATGTTTCTCTATTTTCAGGAAGGAGGCATAGCGTCCGGATCTGGCAACCAGGCTGACGTCACGCTTTAACCGAGCCGCTTCCTGCACGCCTTTAAAGAAACATGGCGGTGGATCCGTGGAATAGAGTTAATATTCCGTATCCGAGCGCTGCTTCGACCAGCCGGATCAGCTTTAACGCTACGACAGGTGTGAATGATGTCTTCTATGGTGTTAAGGTGGAGCGGTGTAGTTCTGACTGTACGGAGTCAGTTGGTGCGTTGTTTATGTGAGACACGTGGGTTGGGAGCGCAGGCAGGAGCTGCAGCGCGCGCTGTGGAACAGGAGGAGTGGATGTGTTGGAAAGTGTGTGGCGCATTATGTAATATCCCAGTATGGTCCTCACTGTCTTTACTGTGTTCCAGATAGCATAGTCGAGGGTGTGGTGTCGCAGTGCGGTGATGTGCAGAAGCTGCTGGGCAGTCAGGTGCTGCGGACGGAGATCCGTGTCCTGTATGAGATCGTTTACGTGGTGAACAACAGCCTCAGACAGCACAAGCCCTTCAGGGCTGTCAAGCAGGTACAGGTGCCCGTGATACACCGGCTTTCATGCATGTTTGGACGGCAGCAGTTGTTTCCTTACTGATGTTCTTGCTTAATTTTCCGTTCCACCTTAAATGCTGCAGCAGTTGGAGTAACTCCTGCACTATTTAAGGTGGAACGGAAGAGCCCACTAAGAATCCCATTCAGCTTACCCTGGTAAAAAAAAGCCTAGCATGGCTGGTCACCAGCAAAAACCCAGCCTATGTTGTGTTTTAGATGCTGGCACGCTGGTCAGCAGCGGTGGACGTTGATAAGCTGATATGACCGTGCTGGGGTGACCAGCTGAACCAGCACCAGGTCTTCATAAACCAGCACAGACCAGCATGACATGTATGCTGGTCTGTGGTTTTTACAACAGGGTAGTTAAAGGGGAACTCCACAGATTTTTCCAAAATTCTGCATAATGAAATGGTCATTTGGAGTGGTTTCTCAGTTCTAGGGAAACTTGCCGAGTCAGAATTCACAGTGGTGGTGATGGGAACCAGACGTCCCCCTCTAAAAGCTCCTCCACTGAAATTTAAATGAACTGGTTACATATGTGCTGCCTGATGTCTGACCCGTCGGAGGGACACACGGACTCAGTGCGTCAACTTTACATGTATAAACACTAGGTTCACTTGTGGTTTTGGATAGTAAATAACATGGATGTATTTGTGTTGTAGACATGGTGACCCCTGGTTCCTATCATGACCACTGTAAGGAAATCAGATTCTTTAAGCTTCTTTAAAGTTAACCATTTCACATCAAACCAATCTGAATGACTATGTTGGCATCTAAGGACTAAATGATTCAGAAATTTTAAAAATTGGTGTAATTCCCCTTCAACAGTGCCTAATTTTGTGTGCTGCAGGTGGAGCAATGCATAAAACGACTGAACGAAATGAATCTGCAGGGAGCTTTACAAGACCTGCAGGAGCTGTGCCCCAACAAAATTCAGAGGTAACGTACGTGACTGTGAAATACAGTATTTGCTGTTAATGTTTTATTTTTAATATTATCAATATTATTGTCTTTCATGAAAAAGAAATATTCTATCCATACTACAGGAATTTCTACAGTACACCTATAAGAATATTGTAGCAAATTACACAAGCATTAATGGAGCACTCTGACTGTACTTCAGAATTATTATTATTATTATATTACTGTATATTATATAAGGCAACTGTTATTGTATTGTAATTGTTTAGAACTTGACCCGACATGCTCTCTGTTTAGGGATGTGGGAGTAGACACTGGATTCTGTGACGTGCCCAGTCAGCCCATGCTGGAGTGGATTTGTCTCAAACTGCTGGGAGCGTCCAGTCTCATGGTTCGGACCCTGGACCAGTGCACCAA